AATTTCAAGAGAGTCCTATCGACGAGGAGTCAAACCACTGACATCGTAGACGTGAATCCGAACATTTATCCGTTGAGCTATTGGTAGTCCGGTCCGACCCTTTGATCGTAAAGAAATAAAGCTGAACAGCTGCCCGTTGAACCACGAACTTACTTTTTGCTCTTAGAAAATGAAACAATAGGAGCAACATGCTCGAAGCTTACAGCTTACTCTGCTTACCCGATGTGCGGCTGAAATACCGCCTAACGGCTGGTAGCCGGATGATACTCAGCTCGGCTGGGACCTTCTGAAAGCCAGTGACTCCCACCTGCCGGGCGGCTTGTCTGATGGCCGGCGGGCACCGGCTCTCGCGGGCCAAGCCCAAAAACTAGTATTTTACCAGAAGGAACTTGGTAGTCACCAAGTTCCTAATGCGTAATGAGTATTACAGTCAAACATGGGCTTGTCCATATGGTACACGAGCTTACTATTACACTACAAACAATCCTACAGGACAGGATTATGCTGGTGAGTGCTTGGTGAATCACCCTTTTGAAATCAACAAAGCGATGTTTATTGTTTCAGGAATGATGCTTTATGCTATCTGCTTTCCTCCACCTAACAATTACTGGTATCTACCGGATGGCACTACTCGAATTATGGCAATTTCATGTGAAAGCCAGAATTGAAATCTGTTTGGGACCAATCGCGGAACCAAACAGAACTTAATCGGATCAGGAAAATCGATTGATGTAGCGGGGCCGCGACGCATCGGCCGCTGTGGACGGAGCCATTCACCTCGCCCATTGCCGTCTATGCGTCGAATCTATTAATCAATTTCATTGGTAAAGTTGTACATTACAGTAATTATTATAATGCTCTAATAAAGTTGCACCGTCTGTCATCTGTATTACATGTCCTCTCACTGATCATTGGCTTCCTCGAACAGTTTTAATCGGGATCGGCACCGTATTGCAGTGGATCCTACTCACTCAATAAACACGAATCGAAACCATTTCCTCGTCAAAAACAGCCTATCTATGCTACCTACTTGAGGCGTGGAGTAGAAGGACTCCATGCGAAGCGTCAAGCTTGCTAGGTTTATTATAATCCTCAGAACTGTCCCGGTGTGGAGATGATTGGTCGAGAGCGATGTGTGTAGCTTCGCGCTGGAGCGACTGCGGTTCTAATCCGGATAGAGCAAGAGTTTTGCGAGAACTGCTTTCTCGTCAATTTCGTTTTGCGTAAGCTGTCAGAGTCTTGTTAGATCAGCGACAGCTTGAGTACCGCCTTAACACCAAACCACTCAAGTGGGAACCCAAAAATGGTTATATTCTACCAAAAACCACAGCCGGCCCTAGCATTGTAGCACCCGCACGCCTTGAAAATTCAAAAATCCAGCATATGTGCTTCCTCCCGAAGTAGAGCTCCATCCAGAAGCGTATGGACGGAAGCTCACAGCACCTACAGATAGTACAGTTCTGCCATGCAAAGACCAAAGTGCTCAGACTTTCCACCAAACTGAGCATTTTCGATCCCTAACTGACTCCACTTACTATTGGATCGTATTTCAACCTG